TTATCGAATAAAGAACTGGTGCCCACAATATTTGAGGTATGATAGAGATCAAACTGACTATTTCTAATTGAACAAGAGTAACCAAATTTGTCCAATATACAAATAGAAACCAAATTCCATCCAAAATGATATTACCGCAAATATCTTTTTCATATCCAAATAATAATCAGTCTTTAATAATAACCTAAATTCCATATAGACTCTACCTTAACTGATTTGTCATTGTCCCAGATAGATGAATCTTTCAGTATCAATCGATTTTGACAGCTCAGGTAACCTCGCATAGACACACTTATGTGAGTAGTGGTATCGAAATTTATCCACCAAGTGTGTCTATAGTTAAGTGAAATCACAACTCTAGATTTTCTTATCTTGATTATTCTTCTAACTTGCATTTAATTGTTGAATTTGTCACCATATTCATCACATTAACTTACTTAAAATCATTGATTCCAAATTTCAATCATCTAGATAAAATAAGAGGTACATAATTATAGTACTCGGTAGAAATTGAATATCGATCATTGTGGGTTTAACATCCTTACTTGGTCTTTTATTACAAAACTTGACACAGAATTCTTGTTGTATATTTACGTTGTAGAAAACACGTAAGAATGTACTTTGCTTTTGTGGTGGTTAAGGCGTGGGTACTAGTGCTTCGACAGTCTAAATGCATAATTTAAGGCTTTTCGCTTGAGATTTCTTCCTTATTCTACTTCTTTCTATTCTCTATTGTTTCCTTAGTTTGGATCTTGTTTTATATCAAACTACCAGCTAATGGTAGGAGGTTGGATTCTTGTTTTGATCATCCCGATAAGGGAATTTTTCATCAACAATCCATTCCAGAAGGCATCTTAAGTCTTCTCATCAGATAAGCGATCAGTTTAGCACTAAATCAATCAAAGTAGCTCTGAGGGACTTGCCTTCTTCCTATCTAATGTCATTAGCCTCATAATTGGAGCTTGCTCCATCCTGCAAATGCACCAAGGAAGGCTTGTTTTAACATCGGCCAACTTCGGATCGATTCTAGTAGTAACTTACTATAACGTCGCTTGGTACTTAAGTACATGACTTGCTTTTTTCAATCGCATTTATGTCATATAGTCACACAAATGGTACATAGGATCTCCTTTACCGCTATATTTCTCCATAATTGGACGAATGAAGTTATTTAGATAGGTTCTTGCTTGATCTCCTTGGAAAATGGAAGATGTTCATTATCATTGTCCAATTCGTGCGACATTGTAGGTTGATCCCCATATTTCTCGTCCAAAAGAGTGTTATACAAAGTATTAAATAATCTTTCAACCCTCCAGCCCTCTCGGCGTCTTTTCCTCTTATCATGTGAGGTAACCTCCTCTGAAAACCTTTACTTGGCAGACTTGTTCCCGTGCTTACATTTGCATTGCTTTTTTCGATGTACCGTTATGGGTTTTGGTGCCTATATGCTACTATTGTCATTGTGGAAAGCGCTGTTAGCGGGATTAGTTTCATACTCTTCAGATTTATCCTGCACATGTGCCTTCATATTTTCAATCTTCATATGCAAAGAAGCATTTCTATCGTACTTCTAAACTCAACTATTTATGGATGATTTTGGCAGTAGACATTTTCTTCCGCAATCGACGACATTGTGCGGAAAAAAAATGTCAGCTTATGCCTTCATCGAAGTTTCCTCTCTCTGTCTCTTAGGATTAGCATCACTATCCGACGAACAGTCGCTGCATTCTTCGGCTTCCACTCTAATGCTTTTCATTTCTTCCAGTTTATCTTCGATCTGACTTATGATTTCAGATCTCAAGGATTTCGTGCTTTTTCAGATATAACAAGATTTTGTGGTCTACTTTGTTCATGTTTCCCATAGATATCGTCAATTTATTGACAACGAAAATCAGATCAACAGATCCTCTCACCTACCCCGGACTTTTACCTCCTAATTTCACTAGTTTTAATGCTTAAATATGAGCTAGAAATTAAATATTTATTTGTGAGGGAGGTATTTGAATTACATGCATTTCTCTTCAAATCGGGGGTATTTATAGACGTCTCTCCAACTTTAGGGTAATTTGATCGCTTTGGGAGAATGACATATGCCAGCTCTTTACTGACTATCTTATAATTGGTTCAGTTAAGAGACACCCTTTATTCATTGGCCCATATGTGTTTTACTGATAGCCTTGTCTAGCTTGGATGGGGAAATAGTTCGCCAACTTTAGGCAAGCCGTCTCTTCGCGTTGCTTTACACTTTGCCAACTGCTGGTCAAATTCGCAAATTTTGTTTCAAGGTTCAATAGCCATAAATAAATGTATGATGTACACTTATCACATTTCATAGACTTGTATAGATATTTGAAGTGGTTAACACTCGAAGCCAATGTTAATCAAGTGGATGACTTATTCGGTCACTTTCCAAGTCAAATGTGAATCAAGTGTACAGAAAGAAATGCGTTTACTTTCTAACGCTGACTTTTAATTGAACACAACAACATTTGATTGGAATTGGCACAGATATATATAGTTGAACCAAATAATACCACAATTTCTTGTTCTAATAACAAGAGAATAATTCATTTTTAGATTCCTATTCTAACAACCAAACACCTCATATTTTAAACATACAATATTGGATTTTGAAACAAAAAATACTTAAAAATAAAAATTGTTGAAGTATATTTTAAGCTAGCCAAAATGGTATTATTTTCAATTTTGACTAATAAAAACTTGTTCAAAGCTGATGTTTGCCCATTATTTGAATATAAGGATGAACTTTTTTTTCCAGCAGATGGGTCCCATTTGCGAAGGTTTGAAAAGTTATTAAAATGAGGCAAAAAATTGGAAACAGTCCCATTTTTAATGTTAGCTTAACATCACAACCTTCCTGAAACAAGAAGTCTCTCATCCCGATCTAACAACCAGCAGATTGTAACCGACGAGTTACATCATATATTTGCAGTAGGAAATTACGTTATCCCTCTTTCTTTTTCTTCTCCCAAGTGATATAGTGAGAGAAATTGAGAGGTATTTCGAAAAATTTCCCCAATCTATGATGCAAGTAAACCCTATTAACACTTTCACAATAACACTAATGTTGGGATTGATACTTGTAATTCTCTTCCTAACAGATTTTATAGAATTCCCATCTGCCAATTCTGCAATCTCATCACCCAAAAATTTACTATTAACAACCCTTTCATCAAAACCCACTGCCCCAGACCCGTTTAGGGATCTGTTTAAAGCGTACAAGCAATGGGATTCTCAAGTGGGATGTGATCGATTCATAGAGAAACACAAAGAAGTTTCGGCAAATGGGTCAATATCCTTGCAAGATTTTGAGGGTGAATTTCAGTGTAGTGAGCTGAAGATGAATCATGTAAATGTTTTGGTCAAAGGGTGGACTTGGATCCCTGATAATATGGACAATTTGTACAGTTGTAGATGTGGGTTGAGCTGTTTGTGGACAAAATCTTCTGTTCTTGCTGATAAACCCGATGCCCTTCTGTTTGAGACCACAACTCCTCCTCTTCAGGTACCCTTCTTGCCACATGTTTGGCCGTGCTTAAAATTGATTGGAAAAAACAGCTAAAAGAGCCTCATTGAAGTGAGGGCAAACACCTTGTTAGCCAATCTCAGCTCAATTACAACATGTTTGTTAACGTGGATTAAAATGGATAGTGTTAAGGAAGATATATATCTCTGTGTGTGTGTGTTAAAATTCTGCCCGTGATCTGTCCAGTACTGTCATATACTGCATATGAAGTACGCACTTATTGTTTCTCTGAGAACTCTGAGTTTTGTGGATTCTGCAAATTTTATATTTTGATTTACGGTTTGACTATTATTGCCAAAGCAATGTACAATTAGTGTGTAGTACTTCTTGTTATTGTCCTTGTATATTGATCTGGTAGGATGGAAACTGCCCTGGCATTATCCATTTTCCCTCAATTATTGTTTCGATAACCTCGAAAAATGGCATATTTTGCTTGGAATTTAGAAATTGGGACCCCAATCATTATCTGTATTCAATGTTTCATTGTTTTTGCAATAGGGACGATAGAATTTGACACTAATAAATTTTCAAAGGAATTATAGTGGCTCTTCCATTTTGCTGTGCATGTCTGTTTGTCTGTTTGTGGGTCTGTCTGAGATCCCCAGTACTCTGGATTTTCTTCAAACTTGTCTATGATCAAATGGAAATTGAAATGTAAAAGAAAAAACATTTGGCTGAAACAGAAAAAAGAAAGTGAACCTTGACGAGAGAATGTATCAAGTCGCTTTTCTGCTATTGTATACTGGAAAAAAGTGGTGAAGCCCTTGTTTTTTCCAATTAAAGAAAGATTTATACATCGTTACTTATTAAAGTACCCAAACTTCAAAGAGATCTTCAGAGGGATTTCCCTATTGCTTGGAAGGAACTCAGAGAAAGAGGAATATATTGTGATGTTTTTGGTAATAAAATGATCTTCAGATCTCGAACAAAGATAAATTTGTTTCCTATTAGAGATTGAGATGGGCACAACTCTCGACTTGCTTTTATTTCTTCTCTCACTAACATGTATTTGACTGCTGGTACAGGAATTAATGTCTGCTCTGCCATGTGGCATCTTAATTGAACTGGATATTATTCCATAAGTACCTTAACAAGTGTGATATCTATAGAGGGAAAAAGGAAACGGGCATCATAAAAAATATTGAAATTCTCTGCTAATTGAAAATAGACCTGGAGCCTATTTGGAACAAATCATTGTTTGTGGCTTTGCAAATTATTGGGTCTCTTTTGATATGCTGATTTGCATGTTGGCTCGCAGAAATTGTATTTCTGGAAATGAGCACAACAGTTTTACAATACTTCAAAGATTAATTAAGTCAAGTTTGGAGTGTTGTTATTTTGTTCTGTGAACATGATCTCATATTATGTCGAGCCATTTACTGATATCGTTGTCAATCTATTGACTTGACTCTTCTAACCTTTTGTTTCTCTTTCCTGGATTTGCTTATATTTGACAAAAAGTGTGTCATCAAAGGCACACAAGCTAGAAATTATATTTTAGTATTATTACGAGATCTTATCTATGATTTTTCATGTTAGTTGAGCATAGAGAATACAGCTTTCGGTTTTTTGGTCGTGCATTTACTGTCCAAAGGGCTCGCTGTCTGATTTATGATTACTGATTTGTTGTTAACTTTTGTGTTCATGTTTGTGTCTACACTGAGAAGCTTAGTTTTGTCTAGAGCATGCTTCATATTTGAGTTCAGACATTTTATGTGCTAATGTCCAAAACAAGATTATTTTCTATCCAACCTTGTATGCTTGTAAAATGATGTCTTTATAGTGCAAAAGGAATCACAGAATCACCAATTTTTTTGTGTGGTTCACCATTTGTAAGTTTCAGTTCCATCAATATCTGCATAACAAAAATTTCTTTGGTAAGAAACTAAGAATTGAATATAAAGGGCTGCTGGGTATGTTATAGCTAGAAAAATTGAGATGAAATATTTTTAAAAAGGTGTTCAATGTCAATTTTGTATGCTGCATTCTTTGCACAAATGAGATATTACATTTTCTGCCTCCAACTGGATCTCTGGCATGCATCGTTTTTTTAGCATCCTCACCATCATTTTCTGTATCTTATTTCTTGTTAGAGGCATTATGGTGATCCACTTCGTGTATACATGGATCTGGAAGCCGGCCGGAAGAGATCAGGCTACGATGATATTTTTATTAGTTATCATGCTAAAGATGATGTCCAGTCAACATATGCAGGGGCACTCTTCCATAACAACCGAAATTATTATTTATCTTCCACCAAGAACATTGTAAGTGTTCCAAATGACCCTTTGATGTTTGATGTTAGTCTATATCTGTTCCTTGCTTGTTGCTTATTTGTGATATGTCTTTCTGCCTATTGAAGGGAAAGTTGTAGTCGCCATCCCCAATCTTTATCCCCTTTTGAATTCTGTTCTCAATCTTAAAGTTTGGCTGTGTTATCCTCAACCTTTCANTACATTTCTTTTATTTTATATAATTAGTCAGTGTAGTAGTATAGATGGTTTTTGGTGGATATTAAAATGGATTGTTTTCTGCATTAAGGATACTCTTGTTTATTGGTCCTCATCGCGCTGTCTTCCTCGAAGAAACCAACTTGCCAAAAGCCTACTCAGATTGTTACCCTTCCACTCATTTGGCAAATGCTTGAACAATGTTGGAGGCCTTGACCAGGCACTGTTCCTCTATCCCGAGTGTGTGAAGGATGCTAATGAGGCACCTAAGTGGTGGGATCATTTACATTGTGCCATGTCCCATTATAAGTTTGTGCTTGCAATTGAAAACACAGAGACTGAGAGTTATGTGACAGAAAAATTATTTTACGCTCTCGACTCTGGAGCAGTTCCCATATATTTTGGCGCCCCTAATGTTCGGGACTTTGTACCTCCACATTCGATTATAGATGGGACGAAATTCTCTTCCATGGAGGAATTGGCTTCTTTCATCAAGGCTTTAGCTAATGATTCTGTAGCATATGCGGAGTATCATGCATGGAGGCGATGTGGGGTTTTAGGTAATTATAAGAAGACTCGTGCAACTAGCCTTGACACGTTACCCTGCAGACTATGTGAAGTTGTGAGCAGAAAAAACGGGCGGAATGCACAAGCACGGTAAAAAAATAGCCCGGTTTTTTTGGTAGTTTTGGTAGGAATCATACTATTTAGTAGCTGATTTTGTTTCTCATTGTTGTGTTAATGTATAAACCATTGAAAATTGTGATGTTGTAGAAAGAATTGAACTGACAAATCAATTATATAGAAATTTTGCTTGTTTTTGTTTGTGTATTGTCATTGCTGGTCCTATTTTGGTAAGATATGATACTGATTTGTTTAGTTGTGACAGGAGGATGCATCTTGGAAAATATATGTGCAGTATTAGTATTAAACTACACAGAATTGGACACAACGAATAAAATATTTTATTTTTCATTTTTCTTTAATATTGTCAAGTATTATTATTATTATTATTTTTTTGTTTATTAGACCAAACATGGTTTGTGGAAAAAGGCATATCTTAGAAAATGTTTTGTCCACTTAATTTAGGGTTACGATCGGATGCTAGAGTTCCTGCTAACTATGTTTCCCGATAAGTTTTGCTTTTGATGCGATATGTTCCAAGATATTTGGGAGTATGGGTTAATTTTACAAATGGTCACTGAACTTACATAAAAATTAAAAAACGGTTACTGAAGTTTAAAATTTGCAGAACGGTCACTGAAATTTCATGCGCTTTCACAAATGGTCACTGAATTTACTATCATGACTGTTATGATGTTAATTTAAACTTAAAGGACCAAAACACGTGGACATAGAAGCTTAAGGACCTCAAGTGCAAATTCCATTCCCATCCCAAAACGGTCGAAAATGCACATTTCGACGACAACCATGTTAAGCCCAATATACTGGTCAATTCTCCTCTTCTATGCGACCCTATCCGTAGCCTCCAAAACGGTCACTAGAGTTTAAAATTTATAGAATGGCCACTGAAATTTCATGCACTTTCACAAATAGTCACTGAACTTAGTATTAGGACTGTTATGATATTAATTTAAACTTAAACGACCAAAACACGTGGACATAGAAGATTGAGGACCTCAAGTGCAAATTCCATTCCCATCCCAAAACGGCTAAAAATACACATTTCGACGACACCCACGTTAAGCCCAATATACTGGTCAATTCTTCTCTTCTAGGCGACCCTATCCATAGCCTCCAAAACAGTCACTGGAGTTTAAAATTTTCAGAATGGTCACTGACGTTTTGTGCACTTTCACAAACGATCGCTGAACTTACTATTAGGACTGTTATGATGTTAATTTAAACTTAAAGGACCAAAACACATGGACATAGAAGCTTGAGGACCTCAAGTGCAAATTCCATTCCCATCCCAAAACGGTCGAAAATACACATTTCAACGACACCCACATTAAGCCCAATATACTGGTCGATTCTCCTCTTCTAGGCGACCCTCCAATCAACAAATAATCAACTCCATCAAAATCAGAAAGCTCTATTCGCGTTGCTTGCCACTACGCATTCTTCATCTTCTGATTCCGACGTCGGTGGTGAGATCCATGATCGTGGACCACCACCTCAGGAAACTACTCATCCTAGCGCATCCATTGAGTGCATGGGTTTTCCCCAATTTGGTCTAGAACTGACGATTAATGGTGGGGCAGCTCGAACGCATCGCGAGCCACTTGATCCACTTTCAATTGATGCTTCTCCACATCTCCAATCAACAAATTGGACCACCATAATGAAATTCATGATAAAACGGCCTTGGGTAAGGATTCAATTACTGCATTCCATCAGTCAAAAGAAACAATTTTGTATTTGGCTTCAAGAACGGTCTGCCCGAGTGAATCTGAATTTCATCCATCAATTGGAGGCTCAAATGTGTTTCAAGATACAAATCAATATGGGGAAATTGAAACTCAGGCTCAAAAAACATTGGATACTCAATCAATTGTAGAAATTACAGCCCTCATTTGTCAAATTTTAGGGTTGAATTTCGGCTTATTTGAGCAGAATTTCGGCCAAATTTGCANAAACCGTTTTTTAAAAGAGCATAAAACTTCAGTGACTGTTTCTGCAAGTTTTAAACTTCAGTGACCGTTTTGTAATTTTTAGGTAAGTTCGGTGACCGTTTGTAAAATTAACCCTTGGGAGTATATATTAGTATGCACACAAGGATTTGATCGCATTGGTTTTCATACAAATATTTAATACATCAAACTATGGAAATGAATTCACAATCTCAATTTTACAAAAATAAAACTTAATTTGTGGGATAGATTGAAAATGGAGTGACGAGAATTATTTTTTGCGATCTCAAATTAAACTTTAAGAGTCTATGCAATACATAATTATTGAAAAAAAAAATTAAGTTTTTTAGGTCTATGCAAAACATGTTTAGCTCGAGGGTTAAATTCATTGATGACCATCTAACTTTATATTTAGTGTCATCGGACTACCCAATTTGATTTTATTTCATCATGACCACTCAATTTTATATTTAGTGTCACCATGACCACTTAATTTGATTTTATTTCACCATGACCATCAAATTTCATATAACGTTTCACAACGGCCACTCAATTTAATATAACATTTTACTATAGCCATCCAACTTCTTTTCACCATTTTTATTAATTTTAAAAATGGTAAAACAATAACTTTTCATTATATATATTATATAAAATAAAATTTTAAAAAATTAAAAAAAAAACTTATTTTAGAAAGAAAAACTTATCTAAAAAAGTTTACTTAAAAAAATGAAATAAAATAAAATAAAAATTATTTTAAAAAAAGGGTAAATGGAAAAATAAAATAAAAACTTATTTAAAAAAACGTTTTTAAAATAAAAATAAAAGTTATTTAGAAAAAGTTACTTAGAAAAATAAAATAAAATAAAATAAGAAGTTTTTTTTAAAAAAAAAATCCTTAAAAAATAAAAAACTTAAACTTATTATTTATTATTTTTTTTTAAAAAAAGGGTACTTTGAAAAATAAAAACATATTTTAAAATAAACGTTTTTAAAATTTTCTAAATTTATTTTTTATATATAATGCAAAGTTACTGTTTTACCCCTTTTAAAATTAATTAAAATGATGAAAAGTAGTTGCGTGACTTTGCAGAAATGTTATATAAAATTAGATGGTCATATTGAAAGACTATATGAAATTGGGCGTTTATGGTGAAATAAAATCAAATTTGGTGACCATGGTGACCCTAAATATATAGTTGGGTGGTCACAATGAAATAAAATCAAATTGAGTGGTCGCGTTGACACTAAATATAAAGTTGAATGACTATTAGTGAATTAAATCCTTAGCTCGACAAAGCTTCTTTTGTTGACCTAAATGTACCATTTCATAATGTTTTTTCATGGTGTTTGTGATGACATGCCACACCACTCTCAATACTCTTTCGACATTTTAAATTTCTCAATTCATTTCATTTAACCGGTGTTCAAAAAGGCGCGCATAGATGACGTCTAGGTGTTTCAAACGTGCGAGCTTGAGCACTAAATAAGCAATCGAGGACAACATTAACGACGCTTAAGGTGTGCATTATTATTATTATTATTATTATTATTATTATTATTATTAACCTTCACGCATCGCCACACATTACACTTTTTAGAATACTACATTTAACCAACTCCACCTGCAAGTTTGCAATGCTAAGGAAACTTTACCAACCACAAATTCTTAAGCTGATCCTTAGTAGTTGTCGTTCAATGTATTCTGAAACTACTTTGTCAGTATTCGGAACTTACTGCAACCATCGTGAATAGCTTGGATTTTCCTAGCCCGGGGCCTTTTTAGGTTCTTGATACTCATCTTCTCTTGAACAATAGTAGTTTTTTTATGGTAGACAATGCAAAACAAAGTTTTCAAGTAAGTGTATTCACAAATATGATTTCCTCGAAATATTAAGCATGATATATCATTGGTTAGAATCTTCGATCCAGTAAAAATATAGGTTTTGTCATGCCCATAATTTGTTGGGACATCGAATGGATCAAGATAATGGGGCTAAACACTAGCTTCTAGAGGGTGCTCACATTTTGTTAAAATTGCTCGAGCAGTCTACGGGGTGGCCAGCGAGCGAAAAACAAGTTTTCTCTAAGCAACTTTCAGTATTTTTATCATATCTTCATCTTTCAATATCTGATTGAAGTTAATTGAAAAATAAATTCAAATGACTACAATTCTTTTAGAGATATCATTTTTTCAATTCGGATATATTCTATGAGAAAAAATGTGTCTCAACTTGTGGCTGAGAATTTGGAACATAACATGTCCAGTATTTTAACACTTTTTTGACTTCTAATTGCATCACATTGATCATATGTGATCTTATTAGTCAACTTGTGGCTGAGAATTTGGAACATAACATGTCCAGTATTTTAACACTTTTTTGACTTCTAATTGCATCGCATTGATCATATGTGATCTTATTAGACATTTCATGATCTTCTTGAGCCGATGTTGAGTCCTTCCAATGACACTCTCAACATTCGACGCCTCGATCGTAATTACAACTTAATAAACTATAATTTTGAACACGAAACTAGCCAATACATTTTGGACCTAACAAACCTCTCTTATAAGATTTCACTATCCAAATCTCAAAATGCAATGCTGTAGCTAAACCTTTTAAGTATTCTCGTGTCCCCATCTTGAAACTCTTATCCAGTAGATAACGTGTGACTTGTTGATGCAACATGTGGGTTTGCATTGGATACTGCCATTGATGCCTGATCAGCCATATACAGATTCAACCTCTATCTTCTAACACAAAATCCACCATTGCTTCCTCTTCAAGATTTCAAAATCCTCAAATGGATTCCATAAATTGCCAAAATTTAAAATTTGAATACACAGATAGTCGAGTTTTCTTAATGGAATCCAACAGATTTCGGAATTGCATGCACGGATAGTCCAATTTTCCATATGGGAATCTATTGAAAAGCCTAAATTCCCAAATTTTTCACCATAATTTGCAAAATTATCCAAATAGGGATCTAAGAATAAAATAAATTTCAAATAGATAGCTACATGTTAAAAAAAAAAAATCCAAAACGGTTACAATCTAAAGTCACTATTGTGTGTCTCTGTGCGTGCGTGCAAATACATAAAAGTACATTTGCATAATTAAAAAATTGATGCTCGAAGAGTGAATTTCAATTGGTCAGTAGAATTTCGGGTCACTCAGTGTTCCGGTCGAGCTCCATTATCCAGTCAGAGAAAGAGTTACCAATTACCTAATAAAAAATGGGTACGCTCGGAAATTTGCAGTTGCTAAAAAAAAAAATGTCATTGTATGCATGTGAATATACTATATAAAGTACATGAATAGAAAAGAGCTGGTTTAGAGATGTAAAATCTGTACATTTTGAGGACAATTTGAGCGAAGATTATAATTTTTGCTTCAATTAGTTAGTAGCCCTAATTTTGGATTATAATTCCTCCCTAATTTTTGCTCCAAAATTTAAATTATAGGCCTGTTTGAGCCCCCTTCTTTGTGTAGAATGCATTTTAAATTTGTAGATTAATAGAGAATGTATAGCTAAAAATGAAGGAATTTTTTTTCTATTGCGTGTAATATTATTTTAATGAAGCATATATGGTTGAAAATAATAGAGAGAAAAATATATTTCTAAAAAAATGAGGATCAAACACAGGTTATATAGCTAGTGTTTGGCTCCCATTTTGGGGAAGTTATAAATTTTGGAATAGTGATTGATGAAGAATGTGTAGTTGAAAAATAATGAAAAATTTTAAGTTTATGTGTAATATTATTTTATTTGAAGAAATTGTGGTTAAAATTAAGAAAGAAAAACATTTAATGGGCTAAACACTAGCATATTTGAGTGGCAATTATATATATATTTTAATTGACTTGTCAAATTTTAATGCATTTAAAAATAAAAATCAATTTGAACAAGTCAAATCCTAATGTATGGTTCAACCATGCTCATTATCAGATGTCTTAACATAATCTTTGACATAATATCACGTGACATTCTATCATAGAACAGTTTAAAATACAGTCAATTTTTCCATTCAATCATTTATTGCTACATGGATAATGCTAGATGTACATAAATATCTACATAAGGGTGTCCATAATATTGATATGGCATGTGATTCCACCTTTAATTCAAATCTGACGCTTACACATCAATGACCGGATATTGCCACATCAGGATTATAGACATCCTTATATAGATGCTTATGTACCTGTAGCATTATCCTTGCTACATATACATCTGTCAACTGTTCTGTCATTTTTCTTCTGACAAGGTAGATTAATTCTATAAAGAGAAGTGCTTCACGTACAAGAGACGTTTTACATGTTCCTTACAGAGCACTCACACATGTAGACCCCACACATAATTTTTCTTTTAATACGTTGTAGGGCCTACCATGTGAGTGACCTAGTGAGCCCTGTGAGCTAATCACCTGTACGTGGGGATTAATTTTTCTATAAATACTTATTGTACATAACTATTTACATAATGATGAAGTGTCAAAATGTAAGTAGGTTTAATAAAATATATAAGAAGCTGAATCGGATTGGGTCCGGTCGAAAGTTGGGCGGTACGGGCCAATCAGGTCAACAGCGAAGCCCATTTCAACTGCTTCCCCCACCCAATAAAAGACCAAAAGAGGTTCCCCCCCAAATTGAGAAATCAACAGATCGAATATCATCACAGCAATGGCGAGATCCTTGATGCCCTCCACTTCTTCCACCGCCAGCACTACTACTACAACAACCACCACCATACTAACCCTAGAAACCGCATCTTCCTCCAATCAACAACAACAACAGCCAATTACGGAAACCCTAGTTTTGAAATTGAAGGCACCTAAGAAGAAGGTTTCGTGGAAGGAAGGCACGGTGGACAACGAGTTCATGAACAAGAAGAGTTCTAAGAAATGCTGCATTTTCCACAAGGAAAAGCCGTTCGATGATGATGATTCGGATGAGGACGATGATCACAAACATAGTCGTGGTGATGGTGATGGTGATGGTGATGGGAATTGTTTCCATGGCCATGGGGAGAACATTACTGGGCAGTGATTTTGATAATATTGTTAATTGAAATCTGTAAGTGTGATTTATAAATAATAATGATGATGATAAGATTATATAATTAATCACTTTGGTCGTCCTTGTCTTTTTTCTTTGTGGAATATGTTTGGAAACTGGAAGGATGATAATTGAACCTTGGAATATAGTGAAGACCTGTTGATTTTATTTTTGGGCATTGTGTGTGAATTTTAGGGCTATGAATATATGCATCTCTTTATTTAATTTTGGTGCTGTGGTGCAATGGATCTTGTATGTGACTCAGCATTAGTGACTTACTGTTACCAAATTATATATACACACATGCCACATAATCTCCAGTGATTATTTATGGTATGTTGAGGTGTTGTGTAAAGTTTGAAACTTTGGAACTGAGGATGATGATGTATCATTGCATTTCAATGGAGAATCTTATCATATGAGTCTATTATTTACATGCTAGAGGTTGTTCTTATCACGATATAGACTTGGCATTTCAATAAATATATATTGGTGTTATAGAAGATATGATCGCGTTATTCTGTCTCCATTCTTATGAAGCTGCTAACATTGTTTAGATTACTGCTTTTTTCGTTAGGCTCTCAGTTCATTTGCGCTTTCTTAATTTCTCAAAGTGAAAACCAATGGTTTAAGTGAGGAGCACTTCTCTCAGATTCAGTTAATCAGTTTTGAGGCATTTTATTCAGTTATTATTTTTTTTTTTACACTTTTCTGTTTTCGAGTTCACGAATATTTAGAACGGAAGTTTCCAAGTAAGAAGGCACGCTAGCTCCTATTTTAAAACTTGATAATCTCTTTTGTAGCTGAAGTATCATATTAGCTTAGATATCTTTCTAAAATTTTTAGCACAAAATAACTTATATTTTATGTTAACTTTATTTACATTTCTTAGTAGGCGTCCCAAACTTCTTCTCTCTTGATTTTTCCCCATTTGTACCCTCCTCCTCCTGCTTGAGTGACTTAGCAAGGGAGTTTCAGCTATAGAAATTTATGGACAAATATGAATTGCAGGGTCACGTAGAATTCTTGACCTGTGATGTACATAGGTGCTAATAATAACATACCTTTGTTGGATATTTGATGGTGAGAACTGAAGAAGAATCAAGATTCACATATTATCTTTGCTTGGGATTGTGTTTGATCTTCCATCTGTCATGATAAACTTTTTGATCCTTGTGTATTGTAAAGTTCTACACTGGAAAGGAAACACTGGATTGAGGATTTACGAGCTCTACAGATAATTATAACTTGAAGAGAACTGACCGTACCATAATTTTAGCCGATTAGCAGTTAAAAAGCAATAAGGAGACTGAATCATTCTAATATTGATTAATACGTAATTGATCGAATGCTACTTGCAAACGGCTCTTCTGCTCAGAAACGAAATATTCCAAATGTTCCTAGAAAATCTTGCTCCCATTGGACTATTTGTATCTATATGCATCGGGATCCTAATTCATGGAATTCTCGGTTAATTTTAGCTGATTAGCAGTTCAAAAGCAATAGGGAGACTGCATATTGATGTATTTTGTGACTTTCTTACACGGTGGATACTATTGGGACCAGTTGGATGTGATTACATGCAAAAAACCTTCTTTTGACAGCATTTAAGGTTTTTTGTAAATATTTCATTGGACGCAGATTGAGAACATATTAGTCCCGACTTCTTAGCCCTTGAACAATTTGCAGGCTGTATTATCAAAGGAATTAACTTAGCCTGAAATGTAGATGCCTAGTCAAACATTCTGTTGATTATTGAGTTAGCATTCAGCTCTTTATCGAGGAGTTGAATGGAGATGATGATATATGTGTTGCATTTTCTTACAATTCCTATTATGTGGGTTTAAATGCTTGAGATTCGCTTGCCATAGTTGGCAGTGACATGCGTCAGTGAAAATTTTTTGGGTTAGGTAGAAAATATGATTTTTTTCCATTGCATCTTTTTCTTATAAAACTGCGTGTCTTGTTCTTCAGTTATCCGTGGTTTATTTATGTTCCCTTCTAACCGTTTGAGCCAATATTTGAGGAATTTAGCCTCATTTATTTCCACCTTAAACCACTACTTCGTGTGAATGCGCTACCTAATTGTAACTCGTGAATTCAAGAACTCTAAACTTTCCTCGATTTGGTGGCTGTTCCATCGGTGGAGCGAGATGGTAGCAGAGGGTGTTGAAATTGGATGTGTGAAGTTAATTGGATGTGTGAAGTTCTGGTAAATCTTTGGCTCTATATATTCACCCTTGTCCGAGCAGGATGGTGGTGGAGGAAATTGAAGGTGAAAGTGCTGGGGCTTGTGTACTCTGGTCCTGTCCTGTGTGCTTGCAAGCTGCAAGGAGATAGATGGCAACGAGGGGAAGGGGAACTGAGAGGGTACGATGGTGGAGGTCTTGGAGGTGGAATTGATCAATAATAGAAACACAAAGGGTGATGGTGTTTATACGCCTATCCTAGTGCTCTGGGTCATCTATTCATACTTTTTTTTTGCTATTTTGTTAGAGGTGTTGAGGTGCTCCCACTCAAGTATATCTCAATTTGGGCATATTGTGCTTCAGCTTCATTCAGCTCCCGTAACCATAACTGAATAATATGACTTAGTATAACTAAAGTACTTATTTTAAAAATTCTGTTTGGAGTTTTATTCTCTTACTCGAATAAAAATTTGGGAAGACACAACTTTGGACAAGTGTGAAATGCTGGTGTGCTCAGAGAATCTTTATAAACTCTATGCTTAATAGAATACTTTGCTCGTTCTTATGGTATCATTTGAAGAACATTGATTGTAGCACCAAGTTTTACGGGGTACCTTTTTTCTTGACACAGAAAGGGATACTGTGCGGTAGTATTTTGCTCCGCTAGACTACATTCCTCATTCTCTCGGTCGTTTTGGAACGAAAGAAAATTTGATTACAATTTGTAGAAAGCTTGCAACATGAAATTGAAATGCATTGAAAGTAAATTGGTCATTGATTGGTTGAAAATTAGAAATTACAATTGATGAAAGAGGGAAATTACAATGATTGGTGCATGGGGCAAACATCAAAAAGTTTGAAAAATTGTTTGAAAGACTAGTACCCTATGTAATAGCATTTGGAACAAAAACTTAAGTGATAGGAGTAAACGTTTAAATGTTGAAGAATCATACTAAAAGTTTACCAATATCATAGCTATTTTACAATTGAAATAAACTATTACAAAGGAAAGAAAATTATAACTCAAACTTAAACTAATATTTACAATGTGGGATTGAAGTTGGGCAAACTGCGCCTGCGATTGGGTCAAGGGGTTTAAGTAAAGCTGTGGTCCTTGACATTCTTCCTCATTTGTTTTGGCGACGTCCTCGAAGCCATTGATGAATGATTTATTTTTACAATTAAATGAAATATTTACAATGTGCTGCCGAAGTTGGGCAAACTGCGGCTGCAATAGGGTCACGGGGCTTAAGTAAAGCTGCAGTCCGTGACATTCTCCCCTACTTGTTTTGGCGACGTCCTCGAAGCCATTGATGAATGATATGCTTCAATTAATGATTTGAAAGCTCCAAGATCTTTTTATATGTCCCAAGTATTCTCCCCGCTGCTACATCGCTCCATTTGACCAAATACACTTGATGATATTTCCTAAAAACTCGAGAAGTTCGATGGTCATGAATCTTTTAGCAACATTCTTTCCAACTTTTTTCATTTCAAACACAGGTTGTTTTGGATCATTTCTGGATGCGTCCTCTTTGTCAGCAAAGTATGACTTGAATACACAAACATGAAGGATCTTGTGGATTTTGCACGATGAAGGGAGTGCAACTTTATATGTGACTCTTCCAATCCTCTTCACGATGGGTAAGGGTCCAATATATTTTGGCACCAATCTTGAGTCTTTTCGTCTTGTCGGTTTATAGCAGTTTCTGTCGGGGAGTTTAACCATTACTAGATCTCCAACATTAAATTCAAGAAAATGGCGCTTTAAATCTGTAGACTTTTTGTATCGCTTCTGAGTTTTCTCAAGAAAACTCCGAGCAATTTCAATATTTCATTTCCACTCTTGAGAGAAGCTTTTGGCTTGAGGGGATTTGGTACTTTGATCGATATCCACAATATAAGGGAGTAACGTTTGCTGGCCCGTAGCAATCTCAAAATGACACAGAATTATTTTACAATATCAGAGCTATTTTACAATTGAAATAAACTATTACATTAGAAAGGAAATTACAACTCAAACTTGAACTAATATTTACAATGTACGGTCGAAGTTGGGCAAATTGTGGTAGCGATTGGGTCAAGGGGCTTAAGTAAAGGTGTGGTCCTTGACACCAGGGATTGATTTTTTTAGCTGCATAACAGTGTGTAAGTCATTGTACACAGTAAATTATTGTTGGTTATAAACTCTCCTATGAGGGTTGAAAATATCAGTGAATGCCCAATTTCGGATGGCATAATGTGAGGTTTCTTGAACAAGTTGTGATAGTTTTGTTGAGTTCGACGATTTGCATAATAAACCACTTGCTACCTTTGTGATCAAAGAAATTGTCGGGTGATGATACCAAAGCATTCTAATTGAATAATATTAAATAACATCGTTGATGTTAACTGGTGTTTTGAACCTACTAGTGCTATATAACATTACTTGTTCTAATTAGTTAGCACTGAAGTCTTTGTGATTGTTGGTGGCATGGGCGGCATCAAACTATTTAAGAAGATGATCATTTAATTTTGGAGTTTGAATTTCCCAGGATGCCGAATACTTGTAATATGTTTCCTCTGTAGAATTACAAGTAGAGCACCCTGTGAACTTTAAGTTTAAGGTGTCATTTGTGATTTGTTGAATAGGATAGTTCAGAGGGGGTCATGGCCACAGTATAATTTGGAAGATTTAAGGAAACTGAAAATTCTGGGTTATGTTTGCCGTGTTTTTCATTCTGCAGAACTAGAAGTTGGTTGAGCAATCTTGTTGGATTTTAGTTGAACTAATATGGTTTGTTAACATTACAAACTTGTGAT